GGAATCAGTGGTTTCTCCAAGTTTTCACAGGTTGACGTTTGAGGGTGAAATGAGTAGGAAGAATGGAGAATATGTTGTTCAGTAGTAATATGGAGAACCATCAAGGATAGAAAATGATTGTTTCAGACAGCACAGGAGATGATTTCTCTTTTATTTCTTATCATGTCTTTTATTTTTTTACTTTGCATGACTTGCAATTGAATGGAATTGATTCTCCTCCTCCTTATGGTGTCTCCATTGTTTGAGATGCTCTGAGAGGGTATTAATGTCCTGGACCTGTTATTAGAGAGTATAATTTTCGTTTTTGTTTTTGAGTTTGTGAGCACTATATTAGACATGCTATTCATCTCTTTGCACATTGTTTCTAATTTAAATGTGAACTGGTCAGAAATTTTCAGGCTTCTATTCATCTCTTTGCACATTGCTTGGCTTCTATATTGATTCATATTTCATTGTATCTTTTGATATAGCATAATAAACATGTTGTATCTTACAATTATTTGCCAAGGTCTTTTCTTGGATTTTTGTGATGCTAAAAGTGAACATACTTGTAAATGCTGCTATTTATCTAGTAATGTTTTCTTGCATCCTAAAGAACATGGAGCTATGATATTCACGATCCAATGTCGCTGTCTATTCTTAAGCTGTAGATTAGAGGGAGTGTATGATTTATCAGTCTTTGAACTAAACATCTAGTGATGTATCAACGTGTTATATTATCAGCTTCAGGACTTCTTTGTGATACAAGTGATGGATGAAGCAACATTTGATTATGTTCACAAGAGATGGTCATTAATTACTTCCAAGTTTTCACTTACAGGCTATTTAATTTTTGATCGATCTTGCTTGGTTTAGTCGTGTCTAATTGTCGATAGGCCCCTATAGTTTTAATTATGCCGATATATGTCACAGACCTTCAGCTTCAGTTTGATGATATTGGTGATTTGTTCCATTGCAAGATAGAGTAGATGCTAGTTTTGATCTTTGATTACATATATGCGTGTTTTCTCATCAATAATTTGTATAGTTCTTTGCACATTCTCTAAGCCTCTTGAGTACAATAATTTGTATAGTTCTATGTACATGCAATTTAGTAGTTCTATATCTGGTGGTTAAGCAATTCTGAGATTCTGCAGATGAATTTCACCGAGCTCCTCAACAATAGATCGTCCCTTGATGATCTCAATGAACCACATCTGTCATATGATTTTCCATTGAGTCAGTACCATTCCAGTGGTTCTCCTTTTGAAGAGACATATACTACTGAAGCTCACACTGATCAAGAGACGCCATGTGCACCTAGCAGCAACAAATCACAAAAACAATCTCAAAGAACTATCAACTTCTCTCCTGAGGAAGACAAACTTCTTATAGCCGCATGGCTGAATACAAGCTTAGATCCAATCAAAGGATCTGATCAAAAGAAGAACCAATTCTGGAAAAGAATTACTCGATACTTTGAAGATCATAAGAGTTGGTCGGATGAACGAACTGAAAAATCACTGACGAACCGCTGGTCAAAAATAAGTTTCAGTGTGAGTAGGTTTTGTGGACATTATGCTGCAGTTGAACACTTGCGGAAAAGTGGATACACAGAGGCAGATAAGATGCACACCATTGTTATCTTCATTATCTTCAAAGCATCCTACTGCTTATTTATATTTTCAAATGTTAGTACTGATGTTGCATTCTCAAATGTTATTTTTCTGTTAGATATTTACATGAGCTATTCTTTGCAGATACAAGAGGCAAAAACGGTCTACAAAGATAAGGAAGGTCATCAGTTTGGATTTGACCATTGTTGGACTCTTTTGAGGTTTCAGCAAAAATGGATGGTTGAACATAAAAAAATTGAAGCAACTAGAATCTTCAAGGCTCCTACTAAAAATCAAATTTCAATTAACTTGGAAGATGATAATGGAAATGCTCCTGAACCTGCACCCTTGAAGAGGCCTATTGGAAGAAAGGCTGCAAAAGAAGCGAACAAAAAAGCAAAATCCAACGAGCAAGGTGATGATGATGAGAAGGAATCTTCAAAAGTCCGTTCTGAGTTGGAAGAGTTTAGGGCAAGGAGACTAGAAAGTGACCGCGTAAAGGCAGAACAACTTAAGTTGCTAATTAATATTGAGCAAAAGCAGGTTTGCTCTTAGAGAAAAGGAAATTGAACTTCAAGCTCGAAGTGAGGAAACTAAAATAATGTCTATGGATACTAGTTCCATGAATCCTATTCAAGCAGAGTATTTCATCAGCCTTCAGAGAGAAATTTTGGCAAAAAGAGCTGGTAAGAATGGAAATGAGTAGTCTCTTGTGTCATTACTCCTGGATATTTATGCTATTCAGAGACTTGTGTTATGTGTTTTGGATTCTTTCTTTCTAGCTTTTCAGCTGCTGAATATTTAGAGGGTAATATTTTGTTGTGAGATTAGTTTAGCAGGAAAAGTGTATCTTGTTTCTCAAGTTTGGACCTTGAACAATGTTATTGTTAAATTTCATGTCTAAATCTGTATGCTTGCTGACCATTGTTACTCATTTTTTATTTTTTTTCCTGCAATTGCTCCCAGTCTACAAAGTTCTGTTTCTGGAAGTGAGACCTTTGTTAATATTGAACATGAAGCTTTTGAGACGTTTGAGGTAATATAATCATGTTATTTTTTAAATGATTCATTCAACTTGTCATTGTTGACAGTGGATCCATGGAATTGATTGTTAATAACTTTATCTTGAAATTGTTGACAGTGGAATTGATTGTTAATCATGTTATTTTTTAAATGATTCATTCAACTTGTCATTGTTGACAGTGGATCCAACACTTTCACGGCTATATTCACATAAGTTAATAACTTTATCTTGAAATTGATTGTTGACAGTAGAGTTAGTAACTTTATCTTGACCAAGTATGCTACTACTCAATGAAGTTGAAACAACATAATATTCTTCATAAATTTAACGACATTACAATGAAGTTGAAACAACATAATATTGATTTATATAAGAAAGCAAATCACTAATTGGCTCCATGTTTTTTCCATAAGTGCTCGACAAGATCTTCTTGGAGTTGAGTATGCATTTGTTTATCTCTAACTCGATGACGATTTGCGATGAACTCCATTATTGTTGGTGTACGCTCGAGTGAAAGTGATATGTGTGGAATTTCATCAACATGGTCATATTCTTCTTCGATATCATGTATCTTCCTTAGTCTACGAATACGCTCATGTTCATCACGCTCGTCTTCGACAATCATATTATGCATAATTATGCATGCCATCATAATATGTTTTAGGTTATCCTTATCCCAAAGTCTTGCCGGGTTTCGGACAATCGCAAAACGTGATTGAAGCACTCCGAATGCGTGCTCAACATCTTTCCTTGCCCCTTCTTGCTCTTTAGCAAAATGTCGATGCTTATTTTCTTGTGGAGCTGGAATAGTCTTCACTAATGTTGCCCATGATGGATATATACCATCAGCAAGATAATATCCCATGTCATATGGCCTCCCATTGACTTTATAGCTAATATGAGGGGCACTACCTTCATCCAATCCACTAAATACATAAGACCGCTCTAACACATTGATGTCATTAAGTGACCCAGGTAATCCAAAGAAAGCATGCCATATCCACAAATCATATGAAGCTACAGCTTCTAAAATAATAGTGGGTTCATGAATGTGGCCAGTAAACATACCATGCCAAGAAGTAGGGCAATTCTTCCATGTCCAATGCATACAATCAATGCTTCCAAGCATCCCAGGAAAGCCGCGTCGTTCACCTATTGCAAGTAATCTCTTAAGGTCATCACTATTTGGCGACCTTAAGTACTCATCACCAAACACTTCGACAACTGCTGTGACGAACTTTTTGAGACTTTCAATAGCGGTGCTTTCCCCAGTCTGTACGTACTCATCAACATAATCGGCCGGAACACCATATGCAAGTTGTCGAAAAGCAGCTGTTACCTTCTGAAGTGATGACAAGCCAAGTCGCCCAGCAGCATTCCTCTTTTGAACAAAATAAGTATCGTGCGCGACGACGGCATCATGAATGCACATGAAAAGAGCTTGCTTCATTTTGAATCTCCTTCGAAAGAGACGAGCCCCATATTTTGGAGGATTGGCAAAGTAGTCACGACAAAGTCTTTCATGGCCCTCAATTAGATCACGATTAACAATACAGTGACCCATAATAGAACCACGATGACCTCCTCTAGAACTCTGGTTGGCACGACCTTTTTCTTCTATTTGAGCAAGTAACAATTCTTCATATTCGTCGTCAATATTGTCGTCGTCATCCATGAACGTATCAACTAGATAACGACTAGCCAACGAACGACGAGCCATAAAATATATTTTCAAAGTTAAGCAAAGATGAGGAAGCAAAGAATGTGAGAATGAGATAACAAAAGTGTCCAGATTTGTTCTTATATATATAGACAAAAATAGAAGTCAACTAGCCATTGTAAATTAGCCGTTAGAAACTAGCCGTTGTAAACTAGCCGTTATTTCAAAGTTTCAAATAAAAAATAATTTATTATTTATTAGTCAAAGATGTAGAATATTTTTATTATTGTAATAAATACATGATTCTTCAAAATGGGGAAGCTGTTGGAGTTGGAGCAAAAATAATTTGGGGAATATGACATTTGATTCCCCATTTTGGAGAAATTTTTGGGGAAACTGTTGGAGATGCTCTTACACCCTAATTTGGGGGATAACAAATTTTATACTATTAGGGGATAAACCAACGGGAACTAGGGTGAATAACAAGGTGAATGGTTCCCCTAATTTCCCTTCATCCTTATTCCCCTCAATCCAAACAAGCCCTTAGGGAAAAATTCCCCTTCCTTTCCTTCCCCTCCATTACACTCCAATTTGGGGTGTAAGAATTTGGGCCAAATTTCCCTCCATTCCCCTCCTCCACCCTCCTAAATGAAACTCACAAACAAGGTTAAAATGAAATTTCTCCTCCCTTCCCTGGCCCTCTCTACCCTCCATCCAAACAGGCCATTAGAGAGAGGGAAGACGAAAATTTTGAGAGACTTTTTGATAAATAAGGGGGAACTATTTTGAGCCGCGGGTTTTGAAATGTTGAAGCCGCTGAAATTTTTACGTCACTTTCCATCTAGGAAGCTATCCTAGACGGAATTTTCATCTATGATAGCGAGGACCACAAATAATCAAAAATAGTTAATAAAACCTGTCTAAGATATTATGCTAGACGAAAATTCGGTCAAGAATGTGAATATTCTATACGGAATATCCTAGACAGATTTATTCCGTCTGGAATGCTCACATCCTAGACGGAAAAAATTCCATCTAGGATATTTCATCTAGGATGCTTGGATATCTACTAGTGAAACAGCCGAGACACAGAATCTGTCCTAGGCCCCGAAATTGCCATTTTTGCTATTTTTTGTCGTTAACTGCTCCGATTTTGGTAGACCATGATCCAACTGGCTCTCAACTGATTTGAACATGATTTACTGAGGATAAGAGGGAATCAGTCGTTCTTATCCAAAAATCGAGCTTCTAAAGCCTATAAATACAGCCCTAGGGCCTTCATTCATAGGGATCCGGAATTCTCGAGCCTCGGCGAAGCCCTGTCGAATTGAAGAGTGAGGAGCACAAACTTGAGAGAGGAGGAAGGGATCTTGGCAAGTTCTTCAGCAAAATGAGGAGAAGAGTTCGAGAGATTTACATCTCGTTCATCCATTTTTCTTGAGATTGTACCTAGCTGCTGTTTGTGGGAAATTTTGTAATAAAAAGAATATACGGAAAGAATTGCGTTTGATTTTATTCTCTCTA